CTCTTATACACATCTAGATGTGTATAAGAGACAGCCCTTGCCCTGATAACCCCTCCCATCACCCCTCTGCCTATCATAGTCCCCCCATGGCCCCTCAACACACCCATACCCCCCCCTCCTCCCTGACCCCCATTGCCCTCCCTTCATCCCGCATAACCCCTCTCGCCCCCCTCCCCCCACCCTTACTCACTCTGGACGTAAATATCCCAAAAATTGCAGCGTTTGCGATAGCATGGGGTTGCACTGTGAGGGCCAGGTAGCAAATGACGCAAATTGGTATGCAAATCTCTCCAGCCTGCCTGGCCACGGAGCTACGCAACTTGCGGGCACCTCAAGAGGTGGGCACAAATGCATTTTCTTCCTTGCAAGACAGGAAAAAATGTTGAAAAAAAGAAAACCCCTCTTCGTGTGCGACTTGCCCAAGACCACAAACTCCGACACGGAGAAGGCTGCGACCGTGTCCCATATGCCACGGGCTGTTTCGTGTGACAAGCCGCAAGTTGCACAGTTTTTTGTGATATTTGCCCCCAGTATGAGCATGCCCTCAAATTTAACAACAGTGAATGGCCCTCTAGGAACTGGTCGGCTGACCGCTCGGCCCTAACGGGAGGCTGCGGGACGGTCAACGGTCAGCTGGTATGCAACCCTGACCAAATCCGTAAAAATTTACTAAAAACTAAAAAAAGACAAGATCCGCTACATTCGAAAGTCAAGTGCAACAGTCAGATGGCTTGGCAGCAGTCTCAAACAAAACAGCAGAGAACACACTGTCGACTACTGGACCATTTCTCGATTATGTGTGTCATCTTTGCATAGGCACCATGCTAAACTTCTCTGTATCAATCCAACTTTAATGGATGTTCCAAAGGACTTGACTGACAGATCTTAACGCTTCAGAAAACTAAAAAGAAAACACTGGCAGTTACAAAAAGTACTGTGATACTTCCCACAAACACTCCACTGCTGCAGCCACGAGAGCACAAAACAATCATATACAAAGAGTAACCACTTACCATAATACAAGGGGTCATCATTACTTTGCGCACTCGGCCTCAAGTCGTAGATTCCCCTGCATTTCCAATTTTGGCACAATTTTCAGTCACAAAGGTTGTTGTAGGGATATGAGGGGATTCAATGACCCATAGCTTTCTGCTTTTCCCTTTTTTCATAAAACGGCCTTGAACTATCAACATTGAACTGACAGGCCCTTGCAATTCAGAGTTCTTCTATTTATCTGGCTCAGGATTTGAACTTAGGACTGTTTATCAGCAGTTCACGGGTGTACCATTCAGCAACATGGGTTGGGTGGGAAAGGAGGAAGGCTGCAGCAAGGAGACGAGCAAAGACCCAAACAGAGGAGCACTCCCCATTCATCTTCACAAAGGATGGCAACTAGACACTGTGGAAAAATACATCGTGATTCATCTGAACAACAGAGCATTGATTGAGGAGCAAGTCGTCTCCACAAGCGGAAAATGACTTGCAGGCGGAAAAGGAATCGGACTGAAAATAGGTTGGCGCCAGAGCCGTGACAGCAACCGGAAACACACAGGAAGCAAGTTCTTCACTTTTGGAGCCTGACATCTGCCGATCAAGGTGAACAGGACAAGGCCCTTCAATGCTACCAAACACATTGGAGGTGGTCCCCACAGCTATCTTGAGATTAGTTCCTCCATCCATATCCATTACCATTGCAAATAAAGCAGTGTTGGCCCCAGTTGTTGAATTTGAGAGGAAACAGCTAGGATGGATATAATTTGGCCAACCATTCCATTTCTCATCCACTTCACATATTTGATGGAGACCTTTCAGGCCCACTGGCCGCTCCATTACGACTATCACACCGGAAGGGAAGACATTGGAAACCGATTGGAGTGTCTTTCTGACATGTGAAAACAGACTTGTGTTACGATCTTGGTCGTTCCCGAAGTGCAAATTCACAATGAAAGACAATGCCACCCAATTGCGAGAGAAAGGAAAGCACTTCCAAAGAGATGGAGACCAGAGGAGAGAGAAAGGAGAAGAAGAAGAAGAAGAAGAAGAAGAAGATGTACTCCAGCAAGACCAATGACAATTCCCCCTTCTCTCTCCACCTTCCTCCTCCTCCTTCACTTCGCCCATCTTATTCTTCTCCCAATAATAATAATAACAATGAGTGGATGAACCAGAATCAATATCCGATGTTCCCTCTTACTGCTGACTCAACAACAACAACAACAACAACAACAACAACAACAACAACAACAACAACAACAACAACAACAACAGCAACAACAACAACAAGTCCACCATAGCTATGGGTTCCCTCCTTCCTCCTCTCTCATGCCTAGGCTTTCGCGGACTACTGAGGGCCCTGCCCTCCTGTCCAAAGGACAACCCAAAGCAGCTATGGTGCTGCGCTCCTGTCCAAAGGACAACCCAAAGCAGCTATGCCGCTGCTGACTGGTCCGCCATGCCTGACTCTGCCTCGAGCTTCCTTGGTGCAGCACTACACCAACTGGGGCCTTCCAGATGCAGCGCCCAACAAGGTGATGAAGACATTTCCACCATAGCCAGCTAGGTGCCTCGCCACTCTCCTCCTTCGCCCCCTTCTTCCTCCTCCTCAGGCTGGGCTGCTCGCCATAGCCAGGCTGAGCGCCAGCTGCCCTTCACCTCCAAGCAGCGCTGTATCAGCCCAGCGCTGTGCTCCAGCAGCATGTCGCCAATCCTTGCATACCGCAAATGAGGAGCTACTTGCTCCTCCGGAAGATATAGCGGCCTACTGGCCTCTTGGGCGGTGACTTCCTTGGCCGAGCGGCCTCCCAACCGGTACCTCCTCCCTTTCGGAGGGAAACATCATTGCAGGCTCTGCTATCCTCCGGACAGGCCCTAGACCCGGGCTACTTGACTGGTACCGGCCTACCTCTAGCCTACCGCTACTGGGCCTCTAAAAATGCCAACTTTTTGTCTTCTTCTGCTCGGCCTCCAGTACCCGACACTTCTACCACTACTTCAGTGGTACCGGCCTACCTGCTACTTGAGTGTTTTCCCTTCTGCTCTAAGTGTCGCGGGCCTACCCCCGCAACTCGAGCGTTTTCCCCGCTGCAACCCTCAAAGTCACGCCCACAGGTACCGGCCCTGGGGGGCCTTGCAACCAACAAGTACCCTTGCGGGTCACACACACACTCAACTGACAAGCACTCAGACAGGCATGCAAACCAGCAGGCACGCGCACACACACAGACATGGAAATCACAGCAGAATGCGGGAATCTCAGCAAGGCATTCATTCCAGCGGCAAATCCCAGAAATCAGCTGTGTTCTCAGTCTGTGTTTTTGGCGGGTCATTACACTTGCGGATAAGAGAAAACGGCTTGGAAAATGCCAGAATGGCACCACCTTATGGGGAAAGCAAACATCGGAAATCTGATACGGCAATATGCAACAAACGAACCCTGCCCGCACATTTCCATCCACTCAATGTAAATTGAAATAGCATTCTCATCCACTCAAGGTAAATTGTGTGCACCTTCTTAGCAAGGGCGGTATAGGTTTGATTCTCGTGATCTGCTATTTCTTTTCATTTTATGTTGTAAACAAGAAAATAAGTCAAAACAACCCTTACTGGTTATTGCCCACCTTGGTGTGCGTAGCTTCAAGCAACTCGTAAGGCGGGCAACCAAGCTCAGAGTACTTGAGGAAGAAGAACAGAGGAGAGAAAGGGGGAACAAGTCAACTCACCCACTTTGAAACACCGGCGGATAGCAGATGTCGACATTCTCTGATCTGTGAATGAAACAAAACAGCCATAATGGCATTATTGAGCTGCACCTCATCAAAGGGCCTTTGAAAGAAACATAGCTGACTTTCAGCATATCCACCAATTGAGAGCGCAAATGTGGTTCCCTAAGAAACAATCCCTATACTCTCCATAGCTCATGAGGATAGGACCCTGTCCCAATGACAGGATCAACCAGTTGAGCATCTATATCCACCAATAAGGACCCGGAAGACAGGGTAACGCAATTGCATGAGATCTTGTCCACACAGTAACAGCCCCACTGCCATAATTTATGTCCATATCAGAGCCCAATGTAGCCAACAACCCAAGTCAGCATCCGGTCAAGTTAAACAGCCAATAACAAGGACTCTGATGATAACTTAGGCTACCATCTCAATTACTAGGAGCAGTACTCTAGGCAACACTGTCAATTACTAGGGGTGGTACTCTGACCTGGTATTATTAATTTGATTCGATTCAAGTCCTACCAACTGTCAGCAGTACATCCCTGCACATACCTGAACTTGTGACCAAACTTCGACGGTTCTGAAATCACCTCCTCCGTACTGCACACCAACAACAAAAACAAATGGGCCAAACAGCATCACATTCATTAGCATTTTCTAGAAAACCCGTTTTCTAGCATTCCTTAGAAAGTAATATACAGGAACACATGACTTATAGTCGTATAGATGAACTAAAGAAAGAACGATCCATACAAGGTTTGCCCTTCATCACTACGAAGAACGCGCATAGAAAGAACGATTGATATGGCTATGTCCTTCCTCACTTTGAAGAATGCACATAAACTGCATCAGCAGATGCTACTACAAACATATACATATTGTATCTCACAGAGACTTACTGCCATAGTGCCCACCACCTTTCTTTTTTTTCCAAATTTACCAGACATAGCCAGCAACACTTGCACAACCTGAAAAAAACGTACGTACATTCTATTCAACTTACCTCAAAACAACGGGTTCTCCGAAATCGCTGGTTCTTTTCCGAATACAGCGTACTGCAACGAACCCAGACAAACGAGAAGCTCATGAACGTCGAAATACAAGTCTGACTCAGCGCAGCATCATTGTCTCCAAAAATCGTTTATGGAACCATGCTCGATGTACATGTAGTCTCCCAATGTCTCGAACTCAGAGAAGACAATGAGGAGGGAGGGAGAAAAGACTAAGGAGGAGGAGAGTTTCCACAAGAATCAACGAAGCAGAAGCACCTCCTCAAGCCCACCTCCTCCTCGGGCATCTCCCTCACTCGCCGCATCAGCAATACAGTTCTCCTTTGACAATCTATGTCATCTATAACGAACAGGTCACAACAAGGCACCCATCCTCCATCCATGTCAGCAGTCAAGGAGGATGGCGCAGATCCTCCTCTAGCAGAAGAGCAGCAATGCACACGCAACGTCACAGGTAAGTCCAGGTAAGCTTCTCCTCGTCACTCGCACCAATCTCACACTCCTATCAATGTCGAAATCAATGTGGCTATGGCCACGTCAGCATATTCACCCTCGAGGCTCGCCCCCACACTCAGAATCTGGCACCAGCATAAAGCTCCAGCAGCCTTGCATCGTCGCACCAGCAACAAGCCAACGTCAAGCAGAATGCAGAAGACTGAATGGTCTCCAAGCAGGGGCTGGGTCAACTTATAATGTTGACTCACGTTGACCAGCCTCTGGTATCCAGGGTACGATTGCCAAGATCATTCGGCAGCCAATGGCCAGGATGTCGCACAGTTGCAGATTTCCCATGTGTCCCACATTGTTACATGCTGAAAGCCTACACACGGGCCCCTCATGGGACCCGAGGTTGGAATAGGGCCCCCAGGTCGCGTCACCGCAACCTGAAGGCCCTATGGCATTTTTACTTGGGCCTGCATCAGAAAAACGCCAGCTTTAGATTATTTTTTTAGTCTTTTATTTATTTTATTTGCTGCTGTTTTTCTAACGGGTGTACTGTTGTCCGTTTTGTGGCCAGGTACACGTTTTAGGGCCAGGGCCAGATTCAGGCCAGAGGCTGAGCCTCTAAAAACGTTTGGACCTTTTCTTTTGTTTTCGAACAGATTTTGACCTGTTCGGACCCAGGCCGACGTTAAGGCCGGGTACGTCCGCACAGGACCGGTTTAAAGCCAGGTACCAGGAAGTTGAATCCTGGACAGGGCCTGGATGTCCGGTAGGGACCCAGGCAGGCCGTTTTAGGCCAAAGGCTGAACCACACGTTGGGCCTGCGATCTGAACCATGGATCTGAACGGTCCAGGTCGAAGGCCGTGGGCTTTCAGTCCTGGCCCAGCGCTACGTAAGCTGGGCCATTGCCCAGTTCGGAAAAAAGGAAGGTACCAGGGGAAATCCAGCGTTACGCTGGTTCAGGACTGCACTTGCTGCGCTATGAGGAGACTGCAGGCTGCGCTATTTTGAGACTGCAGCTGCGCTGTTCATCGGCAATGAGGCACAGCGCTAGAGGAGTCCAGCACCGAGGAGAGTAGTGGAGTTCAGAGAGAGAGAGAGAGAGAGAGAGAGAGAGAGAGAGAGAGAGAGAGAGAGAGAGGGGTGGAAGAAGGGCGTACCTGTTGCGACTTACCAGCGCCATAGCTGGGCTCTCCAGTCCCCAGGTAAGTGCAGAAAGCGCCTAGCTTTCTTCTTCTTCTCCTCTCCTTCTTCTTCTTCTTCTTCTTCTTCTTCTTCTCCTCATCTCCTCTTCTCCTCCTATTCCTCCGAAGTTCTTCTTCTTCTTCCTCTCCTTCTTCTTCTTCTTCTTTTTTATCAGAGTAGAGATAGAGGTAACTGCAGACATTGTCTGGACACGGCATTCTGCCTTATTGGACGCGACATTCAGATCGGACTTACTCTCTACATTGGGATTGAACTGCATACGACATTCGGAGATCAGACTTGGGTTGGACTTGGTCATCTGTCTCTTTCCTCTCTCTCTCCCGCATGTCTATGGATCTCTCCCCATGTGTGTGAGCTGAAGGGCAATCTTTCTGATGTCCTGCCCTTCCGAAGTTTCCCTCTTTCATGTTGTCTGTCCTCGTGTCCTTTGGTTACTAAGACTTCCGCTGTGCTGATTCTCAGCCCATGATGATGATACAAATGTGTTGTTGTTGATTTCTCGTTGGTTTACTCTTTGCATTGTGCACATTGGCATCTTGTGAATGTTGCACCTATGCTGCCGGTTGTTGCCACTTTCATCATTGCTAGATCTTAGGCTCTCGGTGCATTTCACTTCCTGATATGCTACACACATGGACCGGATTCTTCTGGATACCTGCAGACAACCAATGATGTGCATCTGATCTACGGCCGCAACTGAAGAGTGGGTCGACTTTGACCTCTGGGCCTGGATTCCCGAGCTGGGGTTGACTGTTGACTTTCTCAAAGTCAACTGTCACATCTAGGGCCTCTGAACACCGTTTTTGGCCCTGCCCTGGGTACCCATTCGCCTTGGGCATTAACCCAGGCGTTTCTCAGACTTGGGGCACGACTTTGGACCCCTGTTTCAGCCCTTTGACCACACGTGTCGAAACTTTGCCCGCAGCATTGCAGATTTGAGCTGAGTTATTACATTCCATCCGGCCTGATTTCGAGTTCCACCGCAGAAATTAATTGCTTTCCGGCTCGGCTTTCTTTTAACCAACGTTCATATGCTGCAATAATACAAGGTGCAGTAGGTAGCAATTCTGACTTACTAAACCAACGTGCTTCTGATACAGGTTGGTTAGTAAAGATTACCTTGTCTGCTTTTGCGGCCTCCCTCTTCCACGCCTCCCTCTTCCACCTGTAGAAAAGAAACCGTGGTCAATTATTCTTTCAACCAGGTACCCACCGTTCATTGGAGGAGGAAACATTGATGGTCCATTCGGAAAATCCAGACCTTCAACGTAGGTGTCAGGAATGTGTCCTCAGGGGCCCCTAGAACAACATGCATATGTTCTGGACTGTGGCCCCCAGCAAGCCTTGTGCCCGCCCTAAGTGAAGGTGGGCCTGAATGTCCACGGGAGGCCCTTATCTCATAATTTTCCAATGTGGGTATCAGACAGTTGCTGCACGTCAGTTGGTTGAAGTGTAACCTGGGCCTCACCCTGGGCTCTATCCAGAAGCAGCAGCTGCGTCAGGCACTTAAGCCCAGCACGCAGGTGGTTGCACCCTGGGCACACGCAGCGTGAGGCCAACACAACAAGAAGTGGCCGCGGGCCAATGAGAATGCAGCAGTGTCGTCACACCTACCCACGCGCCAATGCAAACACAGCAAACACTTGGAGCCTGGAGAATCCTGGGTGTGCCCAACTGCAAAGGGCCCAGGCCCTCAACTGTAGACTTGGGCCTGGG